AAAAAAAAAAGAAGAAGGCTTTCAAGTTATCGTCAAAGCGCAACGCACCGATATAGCAGCAAGGGCAAACTACGCATAAGAAGCTCCCCGTCCTCGCCCGGGGAGAGTTTCATGGAAAAGTAATCCCAAAGCATATCAGCGCGTTTTCGCAGTATTTTAACGCCTTTCTCAACCAGATGAGAGGTTTGCGCAGGCGTAGATTCGGGTGAAAGCACGCTTATACCAATCTCCAATAGGGCGGCAACAGGAGCCGGATTGGATAGAATCATCTGTAAAATGCAAACGGAAGCCTAGGGAGAAAGGGCGATAGGGCAAGCTACGTTTTAAAGAGAACAGATTAAGGTGAACAAGGTAAACAATAAATAACTTAAGGAAATCTCAGTCATAAAATGGAAGATGGATGAAAGCAGATAATTTTGTAGACAGTACACAGACGGTTATTCCAAAAATCGTCATTTGAACAAAAGCGATCGACTAAAAGAAGAGAGCTTGGTAAAGGAGTGCAGTTAGTTGATTGATTTTAAAAGCTGCTCTCCAGTCGCGGACGTTTCTTGGTAATAATGAAGCAATTTACTGTAGAAAACATGGAGCGATCTGACTTCTAGGATCTGTAAAGACAGCATCAGGCGGAACCGTCGAAAATGAGTACAGGATAAAACGGTCGGCACACTTGTGGACTCAAAATGCGAGCATACACAGGTATTAGATGACGAAATAATTCATAACATGCAAAAACAGAAATTTGCTGTAGACTCCAGTAAAGTCGATAAAGTTTTATAACAAAGGCGGTAGGTTTCGGATTCTCAGACAGAACTGGTAATGTCGGTAATCTCCTTCTGCGTAGACTACTTGCCATTGTACAGGACTCTAGATCGAGTTTCAAAGCACAATGGAAAGCGCATGTTCCGTAATCCGATCGGCGAACACACTTTTAACCCAGCAGGTGATGTTTTTCCAAAGTTCCCTCTCTATGTAATTGCCAGGTGTTTACCTTAATTACTTATAGTGCGTCTCCGATCAGGAAGCCCTAGTAATTTCTAGGTCTTCTTTATAAGAATTGTTTCCTAAGCGCCCAAATAGGCAGAATCAAGCAGATACGAAGCGAAAATTGATTGTGATAGCAAGAAGTCAGGAAATGGTTTCGTCAGAATGATGCTCCAAACCCGTCTTTCTCGCACTTCAAACGTCTATTCGGCTAATTCCACATACGTCTACCTGAGACTGTCGCAACCCTCCCCCCACAGACTTGAAGTGTAAGATGATCGCTCGATTTAATGCGAGACACGATACCGCAGTTTCCTCAAGTGGGTTGTGGTGGTGGTGGCCGATGTCAGTAGCGGCTAATCAACGTGAAAATGATGACCAACAAAGTGGCCTTCGAGAAGTAGAAGACAACTCGATCGCTGGGACATTATTTTTATTGGCCTGACGTTTCGAAATCCGTCGCGGATTCATCTTCAGAGACATACTCGCAG